AAGAAATGACAAGTAATATTATACACATACAAGTAGTACAAGTTATTATTGCTTCAATAAATATGTTAGTCCTATTTAATTAAATTAAATATGTGATATTATGCTAGATTTTTTTCAAATTTTTTGTATCATCACGGATCATAATGATATTCAAAGTTGATACGCAAGGATAGTGTAAACTTTTCTGTCAACTATGTTGTACCCTTGTTAACATGGAATATCTCATTTGTACTGGTAGAGTCTTAGGGACCTAAGTTGATTTACATATTCATTTAGGCTGTAATAAACAAGAAAAAACTTAGTGTTATTTTAGACTGCCATGTATAAATGATCTAAGAAGAAATAAATAAACCACTGGAAAATAAAATTAGGTCCTTATGGCTCTTATTTTGAGGAGTTTATAAAGTCAGGCTGTTCGGTCAAGATGTGTATTCTACAATTACCAATAAACAAAAAAGAAATATATACAGTGATACCTAGTCGAGACTCCCATTGAACTATAATAAAAATAAATATCCTGTGTCCTTACATCATCCAAGTTTCAATAAAGTTGAATAAAGACATTTCAGTATTACATGGTTCCGATAATAAAATATTTTTTCTTCGATTTTGTGTCACTTGTGCCCTTTTGCAGATGAGAGAGAGAGAGAGAGTAGCAGAGAGATATGATAAAATTCATGTACACTTCGGACATTTTTTTTGTGGAATAAATGTTAAATTTTTAAAAAAATATTACTCTTGGTGTATCACTCGGTGGTCATGTGGCATCAAAGAGAAATTCTAATTTTACCTTAATGGAACAGTTTGTTGCTTAACAAGTAACAAATTTTGTTTGAGTGCCAGATATGACTGTCGAAGATGGTTTTTTGTTTATTTCTAATATTTACACATAGATCTTCCTTTTATTACTGATGTCTGTCTATTCCTTGAAATGCACTTACTACAGATTCCACTATGCATATCTCACAAAACATTATGCTTGTTTAAATTGATCTGAAAGTAAACCACATTTGCACATTTTTACATATTGCTGGATGCATCTTTAATACATAAATTGCTTACACTTAAAACTCATAGGAAAAATAATACATAATACTCCATAATCATAAAATAACAGCTTGTTATATATTTTTTGTTCTTACAAACGATTAATCTTTAAAAACTTAAAACCATAAAAAACATGCCGATTTAAATAAATTTATACATGAAATACTATTTAGGATTCAATAAGGATGCATGTGTAGATACGAAAATATATAAATAACTTCTTTAACAGGTACCATGAAGATAAAGGCAAAAGACAATATTCTCTGCTTGTTTCATACATACATGAACATTGCATGTGGTAGTACTTATTTAATAAGCAGAATGACAAATCAGTAATAAATGTAAGCTTTTGAGTTCAATTTGCAGTAATCATGTGCTGAAGTCATTTTACAATAATGTCCGTAAGGTGTACCAAGTGTTTCATTGAATTTAATAAATACTTCTCTTGATTCACTTCCTTCCACTTTGAATTTAGTACACTTGTAAAAGGATAATTTCAATAAAAATTGATAAAACTCAGTTAATTCTTTATTATACAGTATAATTCTTTTAACATTTTATATATTTGTTTATATGAAACAATAAGATTAAGATACGTACTACTATTTTATTATAACAATTGTTTCATTTAAAGTGTTTCTTACTTCGCAAACATTTGAAAAAGAATTGTTTTATAAGCAGATATCAGCGTATTGTTTGAATATAACTATTGTTTTTTGGGCGGGTAGTTTCAGTCCAACGGATCATAAGCTGGCAACATGCAGTGATGATGGTACTGTCAGAATTTGGGACTTTCTTCGGTGTCATGAAGAACGAATTTTGAGGGGTACATATGTTATATTTTACATTATAATTGTATTTCCTAATATATTTAACAATTATATTTTTTCTTTAAAAAGAAACGGTTTAACGAGAGTCAGAACAAATATTCATTCAAATCTTGTTTAGGTCACGGAGCTGATGTAAAATGTGTGCATTGGCATCCACAGAAGAGTCTAGTCATCTCAGGGAGTAAGGACAACCAGCAACCAGTTAAGTTATGGGACCCAAAGACTGGTCAATCACTCGCTACCTTGCATGCACATAAATCAACAGTCATGGATGTTAAATGGAATGAAAATGGAAATTGGTTAGTGACAGCGTCGCGGGATCACTTGCTCAAGTTGTTCGACCTTAGAAACTTAAGCCAAGAAGTTCAAACGTTTCGTGGTCACAAAAAAGAAGCTTCCAGCGTTGCATGGCATCCGAGTCATGAAGGCTTGTTTTGTAGCGGTGGCAGTGATGGAGCTATTTTATTCTGGCATGTTGGGTATGCGTTTAGATACTCGTACAACTTATTCTTTTGAATTTTTTATATATTTTGTGTATTACAATTAATTTTCAGAGCTGACAAGGAAGTGGGTGCGATAGAACAAGCTCATGACAGCATAGTTTGGACATTGGCTTGGCATCCATTAGGACATATACTTTGTTCTGGTAGTAACGACCACACTTCAAAGTTCTGGACACGGAACAGGCCTGGTGACTTGATGAGGGACAAATATAATCTCAATACATTACCAGCAGGATCTGCTGGTGTTGACGATCATGAAATAGGTATGCTAAAAATGTATACAATTCAGAGAAGTTTTATTACCATCCATTCCATGTATTTTACAGCTGATGAAGCAGCTGTAATACCTGGTATGGGACCAGAAGATAGAATCAACGCCGACGGTGAACCAGAAGATAAAAGCGGTGGAATTCCTGGATTGGATTTGGATCATGCCGTCGACGAAGGGAAAAAGTTTGCAAACAAAAAAGTTCCGTACAGCAAGCCGATTCCAAGAAATTTCCAAGCCCAATGGAATGAAATGGAAGCAGAAGACATGGAGCAAGTTGAGGCTTTGAATGCATTTGTGAATCAGTTGATTGAAACTACGCCGGGAGCAGTGCCGTTGAACGAAGTTACACCAAATGGTATTATATTGTACGGAAAAATGATTCCTGTTGAACGTAAGTATCATTTACCGTTCATTCTTAAATAAGAGTATAACACTGATTGCATAACCTTATAAACATTACAGCTGGTTCGAAGCTAGCGGAAGCAATTGGTAAAGGAAACGATGCCATAAATAAATTAGTATTTTCCGGAGAAATAGAAGAGCTACGCGACGTTGTTGGCCCACCAGACAATGTGGACGAGGCCGAGGAATACTTGCAAGACGACGGCGAGATAGATTATTCCAAAGTTCCCGATATCGAACTACCTCCACCATTACCTAGTTCTAAGTTCGCACAAAACCCCGAGCTGCTTAAAGCTTTAAATCGCGGTGGGAAACGGAAATTCGACCAGCTGATCGGTTGGAGCGACGGTGGAGCCAGCGATAGGACGTCCAAGATTCATCAACCCGTTTTCGGCGGAGTAATGACGGAAGACTCGCAGTCCAGCGATACCGATTTAAGGTACACTGGAAACAAAGCGAACCAGCATTCTAACGATAATAACTCTTTCCACACCGGACAAGATGAAGATCTCAGGAAGCTCCCTCACGGTGACAATGCGAGGAATATAAATCGTGGTGACGAAGACTTGCGATTTAACATATCCAGCGGACCTGGCAGGCCTAGCTCGCGTTCCGATTACGATGTAAGAAGTAATTACGCCGACAAAGATTTCAGGAGTTCGCACGGATTCCCCTTGAAAAAACCGTTGGACAACGACATTTACGACGAGAGAGATCGAGACGGTAGTTCGCGATGGGACGATGAAAAATCGATGAACGATGGCTCTCGGAAAGGAGACGGTAGTTTCTCTAGCAATTTCGATAAACGTGATAACATGCCGATGGGCATTGGCCCCGGCATGAGTAATAACATGCCTCACTTAAGCAACAGCATATCCCACATGTCCAGTCATCACAATATGCAAAATATTAATCCCAATATGCCTCCTCCAATTCCAAGTTTAGTGCCACACCCGAATATGTCCCAGCATCCTATGCAAAATAAACCATTGCATCCTGGTATGCAAGGAATGGACGGTCCTATGCACATGATGCATCACCCTAACATGCATCCCGGTTTCGGCCCGAACGGACCACCGCCCGGTAACTTTGGTCCCAACTTCAGACCACCGAATGGTAATTTCGGGCCGAATCAACATTTTAGGCCAAGCCCGTTACCTCTGTTCGGGTCAAATCAAGGGCCCTTCGGCAATAGTTTTCAAGGTTTACCAAACTTCAGGGGACCCAATGCTGGCCCGCCTAATTTCGATAGACCGGGTTTCGGTCCAGGTTTCCGAGGTCAAAATCCTGGCCAAAACGCGCCGAATAACTTTAACTCGAACTTTGGTAACTTTGGGAATAAGCTCGGACCCAATCGTGGCATGAACCGAGGCCCTAATGACAATAATATAGGCAGAAGCGGGTATAATAACCGTGGTAGAGGACGCGATGGCGACCAACCACGTGGTATTCGAGGAAGAGATAACTATTGAAACGAATGAAGTGTCTTGGTGTGTAAACGTTGGCAGGCTGCCGTTCACTCTGCTGCACGGGCCAGTGTTTCATGCGGGTTATGTAGTTGCCGATCGAAGAATCATTACACGTAGGACGGTGGTACTCTGTAAAAGCATCGCAGTGTAAAGAATGACCCGTTGGACACGTTGCGAGCCATTTTGTACTCTCTGTTAAAGAACTGGACGTTACGTGCTTGAATGAAAGTATATTTTTTTTTTTTCGAAGGAATTTTATTTAAGAGGGGATGTCCTTTTCCAGAGAAGCGACTGATTATCCATTATTAGACGGCTAGATTTCTAAATACGGGAGGTACCTCATCGATGTAAGCGCCGCGACCTCTCCGCGTCTTGTAACACTATCGCGGAAAAATATACGAATGTCTACGAGACGTACGAGACCGCAAGAATTGTAATATAATATATAATCAATGACACCAATACTGTCTCGAGGGAAAAAAACTGTTCACAAGCTGCCTTGCGAAAGAACTTTCTTGTTCCAATTTGAGAATTGATTGGCGTGCGTGAAAAACGAAGGAAGGAAAGAAGCATGTGGAGCATGTCGAACGTTTCGTAATTGTTGCTGGTCGTCGAGAAAAACTGTGAACCAGAACAGTTTACCTATCAGTTATTAATAAAATGGAGTAAGACGCAGAATAATTCGAATTCAAGCTCTGTCCCAGATTTAATTTATAAATATTATAGATATAAATGTTTCATTGGCTATATACAGTTCAAATGTATTATACGTAAATATATATTTTAATTCTACCTTAAATAATATTCTACTCCATATATCGAATTCTATTCGAATATATGCTTTTAAGTCGATTAGAATTATTGGTATTACACATATACATATTACAATCATTTTTTGACATTTCGTTCGTTGCAATCGACGTTACTTCCGACGTTCGGCGATTGTGTTGTGATAAAAGTTAACCTCGTTTTATGTTCCCGTGAAGAAGAGATAAATATATATAAAATGGGTAAGAAAGGAAAGACTGTGGGTGGAAATTTAGGAAAAGCATTAATCAGGGATCGTTTTGGTTCCGTGAAACATAAGAAACATGATGATATGACTATGGTAAGGTAATGACTTTACATATAACCTTTCACGTTTCAGTACATGTGGTTAAAGTATGTTATTATTTGGAAATTGAATCTTTAAATAGATCCATAGTGTTGCGTTGAACGATGGCTACGATTGGGGACGTCTTAATCTTCAGTCTGTTACGGAAGAAAGTTCTTTTCAAGAATTCCTTTCAACCGCAGAGTTAGCGGGAACAGAGTTTCAAGCGGAAAAATTGAACATCAAATTTGTTAATCCGAAAAGTGGAATTGGATTACTTTCGAAAGATGAAAGAGAAAAGGTATTGGAAACACAGAAGAAGAATAAAGCTCTGCTTAAAGTGCCAAGAAGGCCAAAATGGGATACAACCACTACAGCTCAGGAATTACAAGCTAAAGAAAAAGAACACTTCTTAGAATGGAGACGTACTTTATCTCTGCTCCAAGAAGCAGAGGGATTAATGTTAACACCGTATGAGAAGAATCTGGAGTTTTGGAGGCAGTTGTGGAGGGTAGTGGAACGCAGCGATGTTGTTGTACAGATTGTCGATGCAAGGAACCCTTTGCTTTTTAGATGTGAAGACTTAGAAAGCTATGTCAAAGAGGTAGATCCTAAGAAAATGAACATAATATTGGTCAATAAGGCAGACTTTCTAACTGAGGAACAACGAAAAGAATGGGCAAAGTACTTTTCAGATATTAATGTGAGAATAGCATTCTTTTCTGCCACATTAGCAGCTGAAAAACAGAAGGTTCATGAAGTAATAGTAGAAGAAAATAGTGAATTAGAAAGTGAGGCTGGAGATAAAGATGATGATGATAATGAATCATTATATAATTCAGAATTTGCTTCAGAAAGTGAATATGAAAGTGCAGATGATGGTAGTAGCCTCAACAATACAGATTGTGTAAGCAAAGATTCTGAAGGAGAAGAAGAAAAACATGTAGTAATAGAGGATACTGAATTATATTTGGATACCCTAAAACTGCCAGAAGAAGAAACAAATGAAGAAGTTACTAATGAAAATGATACAAAGATAGAAAATTCACCTGAGCTATTGAGTAGGGATCAATTGGTATTATTTTTCAAAACAATTTATAAAGGAAAGACATACACTGAAGGTATCACGACAATTGGTTTAGTAGGATATCCAAATGTAGGTAAAAGTTCCACGATTAATGCTCTGTTGATGGACAAAAAGGTATCTGTGTCTGCAACACCAGGCAAGACAAAACACTTTCAAACACTCTTTTTGGATAAGGATCTACTTCTTTGCGATTGTCCTGGTTTAGTAATGCCTAGTTTCGTTTGCACTAAAGCTGAAATGATTTTAAATGGTATATTACCAATTGATCAAATGAGAGATCATGTTCCACCAATTACATTACTGGGTACTTTAATACCAAGGCATATTATAGAAGATCTTTATGGTGTCATGTTACCTCCACCCATGGAAGGAGAAGAAGTTGACCGTGCTCCAACTGCAGAAGAAATTTTAAATGCCTATGGATGTATGTAATTAAATTTATTGTAAATATTTTGCAGTGTGCAATAATTTCTTATGGGATATTTTCTTTTGCTTTAGATAACAGAGGTTTTATGACACAAAACGGACAACCAGACAATCCACGATCAGCACGTTATATTTTGAAAGATTTTGTAAACGGTAAACTCTTATACTGTGTCGCGCCGCCGACATTAGAGCAAGACAAATTTCACACATTCCCTCCGCGAAAAAGAACTATTTCTGTAAATAAACATGTACCATCTAGGACAATACGCGTTAATAAAGGAAGTAAAACTAGCTCTGAAGATGTAGATAAAATATTCTTTCGAAACAACACTTCAAATGTACATACGAGAGGAGTAATTGGAAAGATGCATGGTATATGTCATGGTAGTTCTAGGTATGTAACATTATTGTATATTTATTATTCAAAAAGTCATTCATGTATAATTATCGACAATAATAATTCATATACAATAAGTAATGGAGCGTTGGTACGAATGTCCTTGATAATATTCGGCAATTATTGTAATTTTCAGCGATACAGTATCAGTACTCGGATCTACCCAAAGTTTAGCAATTGAAGAGAAACCATGGAAAAAAATAAATAAACATACAAACAAAAAGAAACGTGAGAAAACAAGAAGATTATACGCCCATCTTGATCAACACTGATTGCTGGATATATTAGTTCTGTATCGTTTTTTGAACAGCTCGAGTTGAAGGTCTTTTCGCTATATAACAGCGGATCGTATTTTGTAACATACAAATCTCTGAATTTACACGAAATGTCGGAGATTCATATTGATTCTAAATATCACAAGTACATTCTAACAATAAAATACATACACATATAAGAATAATTTACTGTTTCGCTTATATGCGTATATATTATAAAATTAAAATATTTCATAATTTATGTCCTTTGCGTTTCATATTTCTATCCCATCTTATATAACTAACGTTCGATGTCGCTGAACAAACGCTGCTGTAATCTTGCTTTACACATTTCGCCAACAATCGTAGGAGTAATGTAAACAGCAGATCTCTGAAACATATCCCATGGAAAGCAATGATTTATTAAATAGGAAGCACGGATCGAATTCCTACTTGTAACTAGTGGAATTCGTTCCACATAATCTGAGCCAGATAATGTGGTAGTATGCTCTGGTAAAGTATAATTTAGTTCTCTCTCATAAGTTAAGTCCATTGGCGAACACCAGGTATCAGACATTTGAGACTGCTTTCAATAGAAAAGCACTGTATGTAGAATCGTTCTTGCAAACTTTGATTCAAATTCATGAAGCATTTCGTCTATATCATTGTCTAGATCTTTGCTATTAGCCAGCTGCAACATTATATTTTAATTATTACAGAAAAAGAAATATTGAAGTTTGTAAGCATATAAAGAAGTATAAATTTTACAAGTACCACAGTAACCAAATCACAGATAAGAAACGATCCAACTGCAGCTTCCTCGTGATTATCTTGAATATCAATGTTAATCAGGTGCACAGGTTGACTATCTTCTTGAGGTCTGGACTCCATGCATTCAATTACTTGATCGTAGACTCTTTCTTCGCAAGTAATTAAAATGTCAAATTTATCCTTGGACAATTGAAATCGTTCTGGCTTGGGTTTAATTCTACGATTTCTGTCCAACATGTACAATAAACCAGTTTGCGTATAGCTAATATTATTGTTAAGGAGTTTCTTCAATTATTGTACAGACTTATACTATAACAACGTATATATATTTCTTTCTGACAGTTTTATTATAATTGCTATAAATGTAAAAAAAAAATCTGGAAAGAGTCTTTTTTCTTGGGAGTTAGTACTGCTCCGTGCTTCTTGCCTGAAAAAAAGAAATAATATGTTTATCTAACAGTTAGGATACTATTGCTTGTCTTTTGATAAAAGGTCATTGTAGATTTCGTCGTAAGACGTTCCGAAGTCATAAATATTTGGACGATCCGGGGCGTTCCCAGGAAGCTTAACTTTGTCTCCTGTTCCAAAACTCTTCACATTGAACCCTTTTTTGCTGAAAAAAGATCATTCAATATGTAGGAACGGTTCTGTACGAAGAGCTGTAATTTGATTGATCGTCATCAGAATCAATTACCTCAAGAAGGCATGGGCTTCCATGCTTCGATTCATATTACTAGAACATATTACAGCTACGCTGATAGGATTTAGTGCCGACATTGCGTTCTATTAGTCTACCGGTTAAAAAGAGGAGTTGTGATATTAAAAAAGGAAAATAATAAGCGTAATGTCACTTAACCACAAAGGACTTGTACAGAGACGAAACTTCGGTGTTTCTCAAGAACCAATGTTCAATACGCATGCGTAACCAAGTAGTTCCACCGTGAAGTCATTCCAGAACAGCTATTGATGACGAGAAAAATCGAAAAAAAAAAATTTAAATATCAACTAGCACATTTTATTAAACATTTTCAACTGTTTCAACGTTTTATTTAAAGTTCTCAAAAACTTTCGAAACTTAAATTAAATCTATATCAGATTTAGAAGAATATTGCACGTTATGTGTTCATAAAATGATACAAAATAGGAAACATTGCACACGTGTATTCGTGCAATTTCCAATTCTTCGATATCGATATCATGAAATTCGAAAACTACGTTCACACTGGAACTATTTCTACACGCGTGCGTACTAGAAACACGGTTCTTGAAAAATATCGCCAGAATTTCCGTTAGATACAAGGTTTTTTTATAGTAACATAACGAATTGCATTTCCACTTGTTTCAATTTTGACCTTAATCCGTGGTTTTAGGTTCGGCAGTTTTAGCGTCGTGCAGTGACATCTATACACTAACTGGAAGTTACATTATCGAAGGGAATCGACAGTCAATAACGAAACAGAGGACACGACGGTGGTGCTCCTGTCGAAAGTTAATTTTTATCGACCAATGTTAGTGACATCGCGAGTCAGTTTGAAATTCAGCATCGTAACGAACTTATTTGAAACTCGCATAACGTTGATGCACGATCAAGTAAGTTGCATTAATATTTCGTTTCACGTGTTCACAATGTTTCTTTTTATATCACGGTTGTCGTGTTATTAAACTGTGCAGTACTAGAAAATAACGTTGCAATAGTTGTTAAGGTTATTAGTTTACTATTTAAATAAATTTTAAAAACGTCTGAACATAAATTCAGTCTGACACAGCGCTGAGGTTATTCTTAACCCCTTGCGATTTATTTCTTAGCTATGATCATCGTTATTTAGCTATTATTTTTAATTTTTAATTTTTTAGCTATGATCTACGATTATCGTTGATAATTTATGAGGAATAGACACAATTTTTATGTTTATTCTATGTGTACGTTTACTTTAAAGGTTAGTGATTAATAACAGAAAATTTATATTTAAAAGTTATAAATATCACTTAAACTTCTCGAATTCATTTTGAAATTTTCGTCACGTGTCTGACACGATATTGTAGGTGAAGGGGTTAATGTTATTTTTTCTTTCAGGTGAACGAACTGGATAGCAGAGCCCGTAAACAATTTCACGCGTGATTTCGAATACAAAGAACGTAGCTGTGGTTCAACCTCGAAGGACATCCGATGTTTTGGAGAAGGAATGAGGTAACCGGTAAACTTACCTGCGGATAATACTTAACACGTTGAATGCTATGGGGGTCACCGGCGACCCAACCAAATTGAATTACTATAGTTCACTCAATTAAACGACGATTATTTGAAAACATTTATATATTATAAATAGATTTATTTGTTTTTTAAAATATTATTTATTTTTTAACTGTGGTCAATACAACTATTTTATCGTTAATCATTTGTTAGGAAAAGAACAAATTTTGTTGCTTATTGTACATCTACGTTTACTCCAAAGGTTAAGGATTGATAATAGAAAAGTAATATTTAATATATATTTAAAAAAATCAATAACATGTAGATTTCTGAAATTCAGTTTAAAATTTTCACCAGTCTGACACGACATTGAAGGTCAAGGGGTTAATATTATATTTTCCCGTTTTGTGTAGTTTGCTCTATTTAATTATGCATTCAACGTGTTAACCCATTGTTAGAGCCGTTCATTTTTTGGCGATATATTATTTATATAATATGTTATTTAATATTTTATGGCTATATCTGTCATTTGTTCTGAGTATGAAAAAAGTAATGATAAATAAATTATGGATAGAGCCGCCGAGAGTTTTCCTGGAAAAACTGTGGTAGAATTTGTTGATTCGATTCCCTATTGCACTAACAAACAATGAAAAAAATAACTGCGTTTTTGGGCTGAATTTTAAAACCAAAAGTGTGCGGCAACGGATGAATTGAATTCTCATTCACGTTATTGGCGGTTTATGCTAACAGCTATTAATCTCAATTCCGTTGAAACCGTTAGGGTGATTTATCTGTTCAACACAGAATATACGTATTCAGATATTTCAAACAAGAAGATTAACAAACGGAGCAAAACATCTTTTGTTGAAAGCATTGTTCATTGATAACGTTCACAGCTGCTCGCTCTTAGGGCATCGTTGCGCGAGCTGGTTGATTGGCTTTTACAAAAGAAAGAGCAGCGAGCAGCCTCATCGTCGTTAAATTGCATAATGTTGTACGGTCGCGGTTCTCTTGCAAAATCGACAAATAATGAGCAGCGTCGACAATGAAAATTGCAGGTCTCAGGGCACAAATTAAGGCGGAGTAATTCGGGACGCTTTAATCTTGAGATCGACCAATTCTTTCTTCGTACAATTAAGCCCCTTACGACCGCGATCATCGAATTTCTTAAGTTAGTTTCGATTGGTCGTCAACCACTTCAAAGTTCTGTTCATCCCATCCTACGATTAGGATACCGTTCAACATATAATACAATAGTTTAATCCTAAGCCTATGTGAAAAGCAAGTGAACATCAAAATTCCTTTAACTTCGAAACCTATGAGCAAGCTTTCAAATTTACCGAATCACTTCGATAAATCAAAGATTCTGCTTAATTACGATTTTCAAATACGAGTTGCGATTTCAATGTAAGCTCAAGACATCTCAATTCGCGCGTCAGCGAATGGTAGTCAGGAATTATCCTCGACAAAGCATCAATTACGGCGACACGGAATGGTCTCCAATTTGCATCTCGCTTCTTCCCTGACTGGACGACCGCGCGGTTGATTGGAGAAATTCCTTTCGGTGCTCGCACCGGTCAACAGATCGACCAAACCAATTTAGACTCGGAACCGTTTCTTTGTGATGGCTGTAATAGGTCTCGTTGCACGAGGGACATCGCGGCTTAGCGTAAATCGAGCAGAGTGAATTCGGGAAATGTTCGTTTAAACACCTGAGATTATCGCAAGCATCTCTTTCGTTAATCGACGAAGCGTCCAGGTGAAAAACTTGGGAACTGCTAACGATCGGGACTATTAGCCGCGAATACGACGTTGGTTTCCGTTTTCGAACAAGGTCGGCGTTGTTACCGGAGAATCCGTAAAGATGGCAGAATCTAGAGCCGCGCTGCCACTTGATTAAGAAAAAAACGTGGTATGAAATCGCTAATTGTCGGAGCTGGCAACTAGCGATTGGAATTCCTATTGGCTAACCGATATTCGCAAGAAACCGACTAAAGCATGGAATTCGCGAATCGAGATTTCCGTGCGCGCCATTACCGGAATGCGCCGGCGTTCGCCGGGCATCGAAGTCTCCGCGCGTCGAGGCGATATTCCCTCCGCGCGGACGCGAGTTCCGTTGACTCACTTCGTTCGCGGGAAAGAAACAAAACTACGCTTTCATACGCTGCCACGTGAAATTTGCATTCGCAAGGATGCGAGGAGTAGCATCGGGCGAATTCTTTCTTGTCAAGGCACGCCGGGATATCGCGATGCCTCTGACGAACATCTGAAATTCCTTTGTCCCGAACTAATCGCGCATCTATTCGCGATTGCGCTCAGCCAGTTAGCCAAACCAATTAGCCAGTTGCGTTCTCTTTGAGATTCTTTCGTTCTAATTGAGAACTTTCCCAAAATTTTCATTCGAGTAACGTGTATAAAATTGATTGTTTCTAGAACGAACGTTCTCTTAAGTTAGCTGTTTTTCGACCAGTGTGCTCGCCATAGCACAAAACCTTGCCGTTTCTCCATGAAATCGGCAAGAGAAATTTGCCAGTCGATTCTCTCGATTTTCACTGTTTTAAATTTTGGATTCCCGATTCTCGAGAGCTGCCGTTGAAATCCTGGCAATTAGAAAGTTCCCACTTGTTACACGACGCGTTGCGATTTTCTGTAAAAAACATACGCGAGAGTGATTCAATATTTTTTACTCGAGATACGAAACGTTGAACGTCACAAATACTTTGTAACCATCCGAGTGAATACGCAGCCGATTGCCGTGGATTTTTTCTTCGGACTTTCATCGCGATCCTTTGCCCCGGAGCGTCTTTTAATCGTCGTTAAGGGGGGAACCGTTATACGGCCAGGAGCAAAACTAAAGCGATACCGGCGTTTGATCGAACGGTTATATCGGAAATTCAGTCGAGCACGTTGTAACCGCGGCAAATATACGGCGCCTGTTACGTTTGTTTATCGTGCCCGATAATATATTATAATTTAACTACAGATATTTATGGCGGTACGTGATTTTATAGGCCGGATCGGCGGAACAATCCGTACGAAACGGAAACATCATTGCCTTCGTCAAGGGTTTTATTAGCCTTAAAATAAAGTGGATAGTCTGCCGCGGTACAGTAAAATTTTCATCGTGCCTTTACGACATCTTTCAATTCCGTCGAAATCTCCAACACCGGCTAGGAAAAGGGATCGATCTTTACGATCTTTATCGAACTTTATCGAACTTTATCGAACTTTATCGTTATTGGTACCATTGTGAATCTGAAACTAACCGCGACGTCCTCGTTGTGGATGCGCCAATGGAGCACGCGTGTTCCTAACACCTTTTTACGGTCATTTATCGTACAGTTCATCCTATTCTTCTATAGAAAGATTGATGTTCTTTCATTTAGACCTTGGAAATCAGATATTTTCGAAAAACACGCGATTAGAATTAAAAACCAGGACAGACGTGAACATTTGCTAAATAGTGTTTATAAAATTTGGTACGCGAATCATGTAAACCTAGCGTTAAGATTAAAACGATGAATAATAATCAATAATAATATAATAATCAATAATCAGCCACTCAACAGTCAACTAATTAACAATTCGAATCGATTATATCAATTCGTCGCGAAGCCGCGTAACGGAAGCAGCGTCCCAGCGAAACAAAATGGCGGCGATTGTTTACCGTAGAGGAAATGGCGTCAGCCGATTTTCGCCGGGGTTGTCTCGGGTGACTTTGTAAATTATTCCGCGTGTGCGCTCGAAGACGGATGTCCTTTAACTTATGGATATTGATGAGCGCCGGCCCGGCCATTGTCGACGTCTGACGCATGATCCGCGCGCGATGCACCGGCACCCGTTAAATTATACCTTGAATTATGGGTCGGCTCGCCGCGCGAATATCAATCGGGCTCGCCGCGTTCCCGAAGGCAGCGGACTCTTGCGGG